CCTGCCCCCCCTCCCCCCCCAGATTTCATTTTCACTTGGGAAACTAAAAAGGGAAAAAATTCTCATTATGGATAACATGATGAGAAGACGACACACTACTGTCAATAGGTGCTTCTTGTATAAAAATTCCCTAGAATCGTGCAATCATCTACTTCTGCAATGCCATACCCCCTACAAACTATGGAGCATGATCTACGGCTCTTGAGAATTTCCTGGATAATGGCGGACACTGTCATCTCTGAACTTCTGGCTTGGGAGGGGCTGGGCAGCAATAACAAAGCACTTAGACTCATTCTCCTCACCATTTTTTGGATCAATTGGAAAGGAAAAAAACAATCGGATTTTTTAGGGGTTAGAACTAGATTTTAATACCATCAAGAATAATTGTTTTCACTATTTTGACTCTACTGTTTTAGGGTATAACTTTGATAGTTTTGACGACTACACACTTTTATTTCAAAAAAAAAAAGTTTTGCTTTTGTATTGCTTGTTCTTTCTACATTTTAATATCTGATTCTACATAATCTACTTCAATATTTTTTTCTTGGTTTGAGAGAATTGATCCGAGATTTTCTTTGTTTTGTTCATCTGATCCAAACTCCCCTTGAGATATGTGGGGTCTCATTTTTCTTGATTTGGATTTTCTAAACCAAATCCAAGAAATTGTTTTTCATTCGATGATATAACCCTTTTTCTTTCCAGTGATGCTTTTGTTAAGGTTTTCATTTTCATTAAAATTAAAAAGAAGTAAATTGCTAAAGACTTGCATCCAAGAAGATTGTCTAAGAAAAGAAGCTAAACCCTACAAGGTGCTATCTTTGCTAGATTATGGAGTATTTTGCCAGCTGGCAACTCTCTAATTTTTAACAATAGGCATACCATTTTATGCCAGCTGTGGATGAGGGTAACATTTTTGGCTTCTTTATAGGTAAAGCACATAGGCCCTAACACAAGCATATCAGACTTACACCACAACGAAGACACATTTATCTTTGGCCAATAAATTGTATCAACTTTTTTCCTCTTCCCATTAGGGAAGTGTTGCTTTCTCATTCCCATTTTTTTTTGTGTAATTTTTTTAAGGATGTCTTATTCTCTAGTGATGTACTTTTTTTCTCATTTCTCAGTAAAAATTTTGCTTCTATCATAAAAGAATGATGGTGAAAGAATACAAGAGTTTCAAAGGTATAATTTCTCTTTTGAAGTATATCAGCCTGTTTTATGTAGAGGCTACCCTCGCTCTACTAGCATCTACAGACCCATTGAAACCATCCAACAAAACCACTATTAAGCACGAAACTATGAAGAATCCATGTCCCTGGATAGTGTGATAAAACCACAACAAGCTCCTCAACGCCCATTCCCAATCTCAACCAAAGATTAGGCAGAAAATCATATTCTCATCTGCTCTTGGATCAATCCTGATACAATATCAGACCAAGATCCTCTACCACATTTCTATTATAAACACTCGCTTCTCCCAATTTAAAATAACCTTTGACACCAAAGGAGTTGAAGAATTAATGTAATAAGGCTGAACTATAGCCCTTGCTAGCCTATTTCACAAGAGATCAAAGCCTAGGTTAGAAGGCATGGTGAGGAAGTTATTGTTCTTGACCTTAGGACTTTCACCAGCCTTTTGGCTCAATATACCCATTTACTTTTCTCAAGGCTCAAAGATTGGGCTTAGGGAGATTGTGCCGACTTACTAAGGGCTTCAACATATTCGTTCATTTGACATCTTTATGATTCTAACTAGATGAAAACAACAAGCCAACCCCCCGCCCCCCCGCCTTTTTTGGAGCACATCTAACAAGAAGCAAGAGCAGTCTATTCGACAAGAAACAAGCCAAGGTCTACCTCTAACAAGAATGGCTCTGAGATGCAAAACCATCTAAGCAACAATAAGGAGATTGAATTTAATACTTCCTGCAAGATTTATTGTTATTCTTCTATTTATTAAATAGCACCTTTTAGATTTGAGTTATTAAATTAATAACTTCTGAAAAACTTGGATTTGTTTCCCTATAGTTGTTTTAGTTTAGATCAAACCCCATGTAAAGCTTTCTAATCAACAATTATGATAAGCTTGGAATTTATAATTCTAGTGAAAGCATGCCTTGTCCTACCTAGTATTTTTCATCTTTCTTGTTCTTCATCTATCTAATGTTCCATTTTTTCCACTATCTAAAGTCTTCACCTTTATTCCCCCCTCTTTCTCTCCATCTATTCTCCTATTCTCTTCTCTCATATTTTCTTCTATTTCTCTACTTAGTATTTCTTTGCTCAACATTCTTGATCCCTTTCAAGTTCCTCTAGCTCAAGATCATCAAACTTGAGCAAATCTGTTTAGGGTCAGCTAATTTGTTTTCTTGCAAGACTCTTTTTCCACACCTTACACCTTTACCCTCTATGCTCAATGAGACTTTTGTGCCAAGGTTTTCTAGAAGGCTAAAGTTCCTTCTAAGAATAAGGTTTGCTTCTGGACAACTGCTCTAAAGAGACTAACTTACTGATATTTTTTGCAAATCTGCAGATCTGTGTCCTTTCTCCAAATACTTGTTTGACGAGCTTTAAGGCAGAAAATTCTTATAATCACCTCTTTTTGCATTGCAAAGTTGCATCAAGACTTTGGTGTGTTCTTTTAATATTTTTGGTTATTCTTGGGTTTCCATTGAATGTTATCTTTCTAGCTTTCATATGGAAAGCGAAAAGAGTTTGTCGGGTGTGGAGAGGTGCTCCCTTTGATAATTTGTGGGCATTGCAGTTGGAGTGAAATATGAGGATATTCAAGGATTGATTTAACCACTTGTCTTTATTGTAGGACAGATTGGTCCATTTTGCTACTTTATGGGCAAGAACTCTAAATCTTTTTAGAGATGCTTCTTTACTACCTGCAAAGTGATTGGATTTCCTTGTTATTTTTTATATTAGTTTTTTCTTTTTCTTTTCCTTAGTTTCTGTTCAGAAGGATCTCTTGTTCATCTAGTTGTTTAGTTTCTTTTCTTCTCCCTAACAATGTTTCTTTTCTCAGATAAAAAGTGTAAAATATATATTAACAAGGTAGCAAAGGGGTACCACCCATTTACAAAAGATTTACAGTTGTATTAATGTATCAATGAAATTCCTAAAATCCTGATCCCCAATGATGTCATAACCCCATAAAATGGACTCAAAATAATGAAATTATTTGTTTCTA